GTATATATTATATATATGTAATATATTTATTTTTTCCCTTTAATTACTAGTAAATAAATATAATTGTGTATATTATAAATATATTTATAATTAATTAAATAAATTATTTATTTAATTAATTAATATAATTTAACTAAGGGCTATCACCCAGTGAAGGGAGCTGCGTGTACACCCCATTCATACACTTTGTGTTTTTGTTTTTGTTTCTCTTTTTTTGTTTTTATCTTCGTTTCTCTCTTTCTTTTTTGTGTTTTTTATTGTTATTAAATATAAAAATTATTATTACTTTCTTTTTTTTTTGGTTTTCTTTCTTTATCTCCCTTTTCTGTTTCTTCTCATTGTTGTTATTTACTTTTATTATCTCCCTTTTTCTTCTTCTTTGTCGTTCTCTTTTTTGTCGGTACTATTACTATTATTATTTTTTTTTTTATTTTTTTTATTATTTCTCTTCTCACTTGTATTACTTATTACTACAACCCCCCCTCCTTTTTTCTTCCTCTTTCTCTGTTTCTCTACATATAAATATATAATATATATATACATACATACATACATACATACATACATACATACATACATATATATATATATATATATATATATATATNATATATATATATATATATATATATATATATATATATATATATATATATATGTGTGTGTGTGTGTTGTATATTTTTTCAGCTTTTCGTCAGCAGTGCCGCAGGTTTAGTTTATCTTCTCGCCGCTTATTAGATAAGTTATGGATGACTGCATTGACATCAAGAGAAAGAAAACTAACACAAGAAGAAACAATTCACAAAGAATCTCGGCTCCTTCATATTCGTTCTCCTAAACAAACAAAAACAGAAAAAGATATACACACACCAACTCAATATACAATACAACCTAACATATCACCAACACCAACCAACACAAAACAATAAACGAAAGATAATATAACTCATTTGCTAATTAAAAATACACATATCTCTAAACAAATACAAATAAAAAGTAAACACACAAACACACACAAGACCACCACATCCTATGGGTCTCGCGCCACGGGCCTGAGGGACTTGGGGGGCCCCCCAAGGGCCCCCATGGGGGCCCCTGAAGGGGGGCCCCCATGACGAAGGGGTGTGCGTACTCTGCATATTTCTGTAAGAACTTTTAGGGGGCCCCCTGCTGGCTTCAAGGGCACCGGGGGGCTGGGGGTACGCAGGGCCCCCACGGAGCGGCTGGGGCCCCCCAAGCACAACCGGAGATATCCTCGATTGATTTATATTTTTATAGAGAAAGCAGGAAACCCTGTAGCCAAACATATACGCTAGGTGCCCCCCTGAAATCAGAGCCACAGAGATTATGTATGGTGAGCAAGCTTCGAGAGTTTAGGGTTTAGGGTTTAGGGTTTAGGGTTTACTGTTCGTGTTTAGAAATACATCATAAATTTCGTCGTATCGTTTGCTAGCATCTAGGTTTTCGTGCTAGCATCAAGGTATTCATATATACCTGAGGCACATACACCCGGTGTACGTACACCTGGGTGTACGTACACCTGGGTGTACGTACACCTGGGCGTTCAATACCGCTTCCTCACACGCAGAAAGTAGAACAAATGATGTAAACAACAGAAAAATAATAATTATTTATAACATATAAAAAGAATAAATACGTATTGAAGCTCAGAAATCGGGGGTTCTCTCGATAGCAACCACTGGGCGGTGGAGCGCACCAGTGGTCAGCTGCACTGGGGCTGCGGTGTACAGGGAGTGTATAATCTCGTTTGAGGTTATTTTCTGAGTTCCATTTGAAATATTTTAAAAATATTATTAAAAGAATTTAATAATAATAATTTCAATAAGAAAAGACAGAAAAAAGCATCAGAACTCCATCAGCAGCGCAGCAGCGTGCAGTACCACCATGCTGACACTGATCGTCGATGAGAGAAACCGCTGCTGATGCAATTTACTATTTATGTTAGCTTTCGTTTTTCTTTAAGGATTAATACTTCAGTATTTACTCTTTAAATGCATATATAAAAGCAATCAGCGATAAACACCAACGGAAGCCAGTACACCACTACTCGGATTCCTCCCCCCAATCATCTCTGCTGCTGCGCTGCGCTTATTTCTCTGTTGTGTTTTTCCGTTTATATGTGTGGCTGTATATTTGATTGTTTAATAGTTGTTGACGTATTGATGTTTGCTCTTCGCTGTCTTTCTTATTTCTTTAAGCTGTTTACCTTTTCTTTCTTCTTCCTCTCTGGGTTCTCTTCTCTATACCTTAGCGCT